CTAACATTGGTAAAGTGGGACACCATTGATAAAACTCATATCCTGGCGAAATAACCATATGGCAGCCAAAAACCGTATACCCTAGCTTGTCGTGCATTCTTTCCAAAGATCGGGACATGTTAAAAATGCTGCGGGACACAGGACAAATTGTTAAAAATTGCAACTGTCCCACCAAAAACGGGACATCTGGTCACCTTATCCTACACACAATGGCCAGCAATCAGTGGAGGCCGTCAAACCTGAGGACCAACTAGCGGCCCTATCCCTGAGGCAGCAGCTGCTTCTAGGCTTGCTCTGGGGGAGTGAGGCAGAAGTGCTTGGAAACAAGCAATAAAAATGATGCCAAATATAAATACATCCCCCACGCACATACCCTGTTAAATGACAGCGATATTAAAGACAAAATGTAGAATAACAAAAGGATCCAGCTGTCTTAAAATACCATTCCCTTTCTGAAATAGCAATGGGTTTGGGAAGCAACTAGACTGAGAAGCACTTCCGGAATTCATTCTCCCATTTTTACCCTATCCCCCCAAAAAGAAAACAGAGATCGTTGTACTTACTGTATATGCAATCTGGGCATGCATTCTGCCTGGGGTTATTTTCCACCTCACACAGGTGCTATTAAACACTGATGCATCACTAATTTCCAGTATTATTTCTAAAATATAGAAAGAGAGTCCATTCAACGTCGTTTAGAAAAATCCTAACAGAGACCTGTTCTTGCTAACCTGCACAGGTGGCATCTCTGTTGAGCACCAATCATGCTCCGATCTAGAGTCAAAGTAGCCCAGGCCGACCACCTACGTTCTCGGTATCATTGATGAGCCGGCCCTATTCCCTAGCTTGAAGAAAAGGGGGAAATGCCAGCCCACACAGGGGTAAGCATTCCAGCCTGCGATTAGTCTGACAAGCCACTGGATGCCAGTGGTGTGCCACTCAGGTGGAATGGGACAAGGGCTCAGAGCTGAGACCTGCCCAGGAAGATCAGCATCCTCCTTTGTGAACCCCAACCGGCTGAAGGGGCGATCTTATTTTCAGGTCATTGTTGCTCCTCATAGAGGAAATGAGTAGCAGGCATCATAAGATAGACCCGTTCCTCAGGAACAGTTCTGGAGAAATTGAATAAATTCTTCATACGGTTAGGGAACATGTCTGGGACTGCATTAACGGAAGCTATGTAATCCTGATCTCTCAGGAAGACAATCACTTCTTCGGGCTGTTCTATTCCATTAAAATATTCTCAACCCTCTGCAGGTCAGAGGGGAGGTGTCCTCCGAGGGTTTTCAATGGCTGGCTTTGCAGACGTAATCCAACAGACTGGTCTTCTGAGGCACCTTCAGGTAGCCTTAAACTTCCAATCAGTGGGTTAGCAACTGAACCCATAACCCATAACCAACCTCCAAGACAGAGTCTCCTTATTCTACATAAAGAATGTGGCCTTCCGGGGGCTTAAGTGGAGAGCAAATGGTTTGAGACTGATGAGGGCAATGAATGTACAAATGCGCTTGACACAATGGATGGATGTATGGATTGTGATAAGAATTATACGAGCCCCCTTGCTTGACACAATGGATGGATGTATGGATTGTGATAAGAGCTGTATGAGCCCCTAATAAAATGATTCAAAAAAAAGTCAGAGCTGTCTGAATAATTAGGCTTGAAAAAAAGAAAAACAGAATTGAACAACTCAGCCAGCCCAGAACCAGGTAACTAGGTTCTGAATAACTGCCGGTTTGCGTTCACTCAAGTAAGAGGAATGAATCTAAAATAAATTCTTCAGGATTAAAAAAATAAAATTTAATTAAAAAAAAAAGAATGTGGCCTTCATTTCCTGAGGGAACGCAGTTGACCACCTGGAAAAAATGATTAGAGGGGAAGAGGGACGTTCTGGCTTTTATTTCTCTAAAATTAAATCACCTGCGTTCTTCTGTAAAACTAGATTTGCAAATGACACAGTCTTGTGGATGGAGAACCCCAAGACCCCCACAAAGAGATGAGGAACCCCTCAACAAGGCTGCAGGGTACAAAGTCAACCTACTCCCCCTCTCCCCCCAAATCTATTGTATTCCGTATACTAGAAATGAACAATACAAAAACAGAATTGGGAAACTAGTTCCTTTACAACCGAATCAAGCAAAACACAATCCCTGGCAGACATCACCGTGCTCTTGTCCCTGGGGAAGGGAATTCACATTTCACCAAACAGGAATATTCCACGGTGCAAATGCAAGCGTTTTGGCCGAGGCAGGCACTTTTAAGGGACTTTTTCCGCCAAGTCCCTCAGTCTCCTCGCCTGCTCCTGGCCCCAGCTCTGCATGGGTTCTGAAAACACAACACCCTATGTTGCCTCATGCTCTACAGCATCCCTGCTGTGACATCCAAGCCCAAGCTTGGAAGTGTGGGGGAGTTTCCACCTCATGAGGACAGGAAGGAGTGGATATTTTGTTCTCCCTTTTCCGTTCCCCTGAAGGGCAGTCCTACAGCGCCACCCTTTCGAAAGCTTCCCTGGGCACCGCCACAGACGGAGCCACCAGTCGCACAGAATGGGAGACCGGTGTGATAAAGTGCCCTAGTCTCGTCCCCCGCCCCCGCCACCTTTGATGCGTCACTCCTCTTGAGCCTGCTTCCTGAGAAGTTAGTCCCTACTGCATAATAAATGGAAGCATTCCGTTCCCTTTTGTGGAAAATCTAAGGCAAGACATTCATCGTAAAGAACACCCCCTCACCCGGTCCACTCCGAGAAGGAGGAAAAACAGAAATGTGGGTAAAGGGAGACAATGGAGAGTGTAAGCTATGAAATAGTAATAATAATATATCATTGATCAAGGATTTAGGAGGGTGGGAGGGAGGGGGGAAAGAGGAGCTGATATCAAGGGCTCAGCTTGGTATCAATGAAAGAAAATGTTTTGGAAATGTGATGGCAACCTATGTACAAGTGTGCTTAATACAACTGAATGATGGATTGTTATAAGATTTGTAAGAGCCCCCCCAATAAAATGATTTAATAAAATAAGTGGGGAAAGGGGATTCTCCATCTCAGAAAACGACTCTTTGTGGGGAAAGAGGATTCTCCATCTCAGAAAATGACTCTTCAACATTGTTCCTTTCTTTCCCTTCTCGTTCGGGGCCACTTTGTCAGCCCAGCAGAGATGAGAGTGGAGACGACGACATGAGGCTTTCCTTTCTC